ATTTTATAAAATGTAGAAAAATGACACAATGATTTTTTTTCCTTTCAAAGTACAGTTGTCCTACTGTGATTCGGGGAATCTGACTTGTACAGGGATGATTACTCTGCTGTACAAAGGCAAAACACTGTAACTGTATATTTCAAAATTCAAGTTGAAATTGGCTCTCTTAAGCTTTGTTTTATCTCTTGACAAAATGTCTTAGTTATTTCATAAATACATATTTAATGATGATTATACTTTATTGATCCCTGTGGGGAAATTCTCTTTACGCCTCCCCCAACTTGCTCTCTGTAGGTGTGAAGGGCAGCTGCCCAAGGGCCCACGGACGTGCTGAGGCTGGGTTTGAAGCGGCAACTTTCCAGTTGCTGGCACAGAGGCTTAGCCCCCTGTGCCACACCCTGCCCCCTGTGCCACACCCTGCCCCCTGTTGCTTTGCATCTAAGTTCATTTACCTACCTACTACACATACGGATGGACAGTTAAAAATCTCTGAAGCTCTTTTTCTCAGTTTCAGTGTCAGTATGGTTACTGTGTTTTGCCTTTGTAGGACAGTACTGTCGTCCCTTCCGACAATTTTCAGTCTCCCTACTGCCTTTTCATCCTCCTAGCTTGGAAATACTCCTCTGTCCAGTAGGTATTTTTTTGTATAATATGTTTATCAGTTTAATATTATATGCTGGTTCCTCATATAATGTTTTTTTTTTTTTTATTGGTTCGTTCTCTATATAACCCAAAGCAGTTCAGGTTTTAGGTGCAAGTCTGTTGGGCTTTATATCCACAGAGTTATGGCAGGCAGCAATCGCTGGCCATGTTTCAGCCGCTGAGTTCGCAATTCCTCTGGATGACGTCAGTTTCTCCCGTGGTGGGGGGGCGTAATGTGGGGAACAATGTGGGTGCCGGCTAGTGGTGGTAAGATAATACATTCCACAATATAACAATAGTGAATTTTTCCTAAGAAGGGAGAAATTGTTTTTGAATGACAATGCCATAATTATGGGTTATTTCAAAGTTACCTGTTGCATAATTTAACCTCAAAAATAGATGAAGTACTACTTCCTGTATTTCTATGCATCATCCCCCTCTGGTGCCGGCAAAGTGTTGAATTTAGAGTTGGGATCATTCTGGCATTTTTAAAAGCTGCTCCCGTTTTCAGGTGATGTAATAATTTACGTCCCAGCTAGCTTGCCGTGCATTGCTAACACGTCACACGCGGGTCTTCCTGGCTGTGGCCTGTCCAGGGCCCTTCCCCGATCCAGGAAGATCTCCGCCCATGACGTTATCCCTGCCTTCTCCGGGTGCCTCCTTGCAGGAAACGACAGGTACTGGCATACGGCTGGCATGACGTGATAAGACCGGATTCCGTCCGCGGTGAGGGGACTCCGGCTGAATGTCAGAGGCGGGTGTTTGCCCTCCGCACAGAGTATGATGTCTGACAGATGGCTTATTTTCCTTCCACACCCCCCCCCCCCCCCCCCCCCTACTACCGGCTGCCCGGTGTAAATGAACTCGGCGCTCAGACGGCTCCCCGCACCGCAATGCTATTCTGCGGCCAACATGTATAAAGACCACCTGTTCTGTCACGGTGCCCCCCCCCCCCCGCTCGATTTCCCACAGTGGACCCACAGCCCATTATGATCACACCAGGTTACCAATGCTAACCTTCCTCCTCAGGATAGATCTCAGCAAAGAGGAGCTAACACTACGAGCGCTAAAAGACTCGGTATCTTTCATATCAGCTATACTATTCACTGTTTGTAATAATATTACATTGCGTATTGCATTACATTGAGGCTGCACTATATTGGCACAATAGTCAAAACTCGACACTGACAACAATGTATTCCTCAGACAATTCATTACCCGGGCAGCATGGTGATGCTAATCACTGTACTGCTGCCTCACAGCAAGAAGGTCTTGGGTTCGGTCCCGGGTCCTTTTGGGTTCTCCCCGTGTTCGTATGGGTTTCTGCCGGGGGCTCTGGTTTCCTCCCACAGTCCAAAAGCGTGCAAGGCAGATTGATTGGCGAGTCTAAATGTGTGTGTGTGTGTGCCCTCCGGTGTGTTGCCGACTGCCCAAGGTTGGTTCCTGCCTGTGCCCCTTGCTCCTGGGATAAGCTCCGGTCCCCCCGCAACCCCAGTTGGGATTAAGTGGTCACGGTGATGAATGGATGGAGTCATCACCCCCCCCATTTCCTACTCCTCCTACATCCCCCAACCTTGACAATCTCTAGCACCCACTACACACACTCCCCACCTCAACAATTCCAGACCTTCTCCTGTACAAAGTTTTTGTGAAGTTTTGAAAAGATCTGTCAAATTCTTTTTCAGTTATCTTGCTAATAAGATCAAGTACCTGGGGCTCCTTGTTATCACAAAAGTCTGTCATATACTTTTTGAATTATCGTGCCAGATCAAGAATCTGAAGCTACACTTTTCTTTGTTACCACTGTGTGGCACTAATTCAGTTTTGGTGTGATCTGTCCCACTTCCAGAAAGTCACCCCTGTAATGTGTCTGCAAAGTTTGAAAAAGATCCGTCAATTACTTTTTGAGTTATAACGAGCTTATTGTCTGTGGTGGCATCAGACCAGTGCCAAAACCCTCCAAGAAACACAGTTAGTGTTTCCTCACAAAAGTGCCTTTAATTGCTCAAAGATGTTTGAAAGAATAGGTCAGCTGTTTTTTCCTAATCGTAAATTGGCTGTAGTTATTTAGAAGTGTTTGAGGTACTGTGTCAATCTGCTCAGTCAGAACAGAGACCCGCTACCCCTTCCCCTTCCTCTACCCGATTCCCTTTCCAGTTGCCCGGTTACAGCTGCGCCCGTTGTTGCCGTGGATGCAGGGCCCCCCTTTGGCTTGGCTTCTGGAAACTTACAGTAAGCCTTTGGATTGGGGACATTTTTTCCCGTTGACTGTTTGGGAGGGGAAAGAATAGTGAGGGAATGAAAAGACGTGGCAAAAACAAGTCTGAGGAAAGGGAGAGCGAGTGAGCGGCTCCTCAGCTCCTACCAGGTCATTTTCCGACCACGGCCCTTCATCCCTCTCATCAACCAGTGTACCATGTCAGCCTTCTGTTTTGAGGGAATATTGCCCATAATTCTTCCAACCCCCTTTCATAACCAGGTTTGTAGTGATGCTGGGGCCTACCTCAGGAAGTAGGAGACATCCTGGGCAGGATGTCAGTCCATCTCATGGCACAAGCTCAGTAATTATGGGTAATTGAGAGATGCCAGTTCATCATAAAGTATATTTTTGAATTGCTGGTAGAAACCCAGAAACCACAGAGCTGGTGGTGGGAATCAAACTCGCATCCCTAGAGCTGACAAGGTGTATTGTATGGGTGTATATAGGGGTGGGGCCACAGCTGCAAGCTGATTGGCCCTGGAGTGCACCCTCCCCTGTCACTCACCAATTCAAAATGTATCATTGGCTAATGATAAGTTTGGTCTCTCTGTATGAATTATGGCACCTCTTATGCTTTTAAAAAAATCTACAATTACTCCTGCTGCCCACTGAACAAACCCTGCCACATTTCACACACTGGATCAAATAAGTTTGGTAACACTATTAAAAAGCATCCATGTATAATGCATTATAGATACCTTCATAATGCATTATAATGCATTCATAAAAGACATAACACATTATAGCCATGCTTATTGTGCAATATGAATGCTATATGAAGCTCTTATCTATAATGTACTATAGATACCTACATAATACATTATAATGGCTTATATTGATCATGTTTTGCTGGTGAACGGTGTCTGACGAATGGAATGCCTGCAAGTTCCTTATTTTGCTGTTCTTGTGTGTCTTTATCACTTCGGAAGTACAAAAAATTACCCCATATCACTGTCGAGTGGCAGACTTTAATCTGTGCTCCATACATACTGCATTTTCTTAAATAAACAGATGTGCTGCTTAGATTAACTTTCCATAACTGGAGTGGCCTTAGAAGCATATTCTAGAACCGGCTTGGTGATTGCGTTACTTCAAATCAGCGTTGCTATGAACCGTAATTCTCAGTGTTGCTAAACATTGCATTTATTGTGAATTGAATTGTTTCTAAGTGCCTCGATGACATCAGATATTCCTTGAATTCTCTTCTCTAGTTTATTCACTGTAAAGTTTTTTTTGTTAGGCTTGGAATCCAAAAGGCATTACACAAACATTAAAAACATTAAAAAGTTTATACAGGAAGCACATATAACAATATTAGTTTTTGTCATTGTAAATGATAGAAGTACTTTTTCAAAATATTAATTTAAATAGTTACAACGTCAGTCATTCACGGGACATTAAAGATTTTAAAGCATAACTAATTTGGTGTATGAATAAACTGAAGTGTAGTAAGTTTTTCTTGCTTTTCTGTTATAGTGGTTGGTTTTTGGTTTCAGTGATTTCAATTTACTTACAGGTATGACTGGGGGGGGGGGGGGATGGCAAAAAGGAGAGAATTTTTGCAGAAGTTGTGTTTTTTTTTTTTCTATGTCCTTGGCTGCCACTTGTTTTGTTGTGGAGACAAAATCCTTCCTCTACTTCAAAAGTTGAAATGTAGAGCTCAGTTACAGATCCTTTCATCTGTGGTGGTGACAGTTCTTTAATCAAAAAAAAAAACGGGGGATGGCTTCCAGGCATTTTTTGTTTTGCTTGGCATCGTCTGCGTCTGATTCCCACACATTCCGGGTAATCGTATCCCAAAGGTAACGACCTACCAGCAAAAGACTACATTTCCATCAGAAGAATGATGGTAATTCCCATAATGCAATTCTTCAGGTGGCTTGAGGGCGAGCCTTCATTGATGTTGCTGTTTGTAAATGCGATTCCATTAGCATCGCAAATTCACATTTTACCGGGCTTTTAATTGGTGGGGATGAATACCCTCGATGATATGCCAGTGCATCTCGTTTGGGGAATTCTGGGAATTGTGGCTGATGTGTCATGTCCGCACACTGATTGGCTTTGGCAAATGTTTAAAAATGGCTTCGTTTGCTCCCAGGCGGAGATCCAGACGAGGAGGCGAAGATCCAGCTCTGAGCCCGAGTTCAACGCAGCCGCCTCCTGATGATGACTGTAAACATGGGTGAGCAGTGCCCCCTGTGAATGACAGCATCCTTCCCGCATGGCCACACGCAGCCACCGCCACACTCCTCAGACAGAGTTGCATGTTCCCTTCCTCCTCGAAATGTAACAATTTGAACAATCGGGGATTGAACACGTTTGGGAACCAATAAGATTTTCCCACTTGCTATGGTGTTCCCTAGCAAAGCTGCGTGATGAAAAAACCTCGTCCGAGATTGGGTGGAGAGATACAGTTTGCATCCCTTATGCAGCCTCCGTGCTCATCCAGTGTCTGGACCTTATGGCTGCGCAGGTTGTTTGTGATTCTCATGAGTGGCGATACGACTCTACTCACATAGACACAAGGGGCTCCAGCCATCATGGCTCTTCTTAGCCTGGATTCAGGTGTCCATTTCTTGTACTGCTTATCTGGTACGGGGTTTCTGGTCAGTCTGGAACCTATCTCCAGAGGCACAGGGCTATCACACACTTAAAGCAGGAATCAAACCTTCACCCACAAAGGTGTGAAGCTACAATGCTACCCACCAGAGCCAACATGCGTAAAGCATAAAGCAATGCATGTTTGAATTTTTCAAGACAGGTTTACGATACGTAGACCTCCAGAGCCTTTGGAGCATGTATGTCCTCAAAGCATGAACTGTTCATTACGTACTAAAGGCTGACTGCATCTGCCACGATCTGCAGTAAATAGCTATTGTTCACAAAAGGGGAAATAGGTACTCAAACAGAAAATATAGAGTCAGGTCCATAAATATTGGGACATCGACACAAAATCTTTTTGGCTCTATACACCACCACAATGGATTTGAAATAAAATGAACAAGATGTTCTTTAACTGCAGACTTTCAGCTTTAATTTGAGGGTATTTACATAGAAATCAGGTGAACAGTGTAGGAATTACAACAGTTTGTATATGTGCCTCCCACTTTTTAAGGGACTAAAAGTAATGGTACAAATTAACAATCAAACTTTCACTTGGTTGCAAATCCTTTGCAGTCAATTACAGCCTGAAGTCTGGAATGCATAGACATCATCAGATGCTGGGTTAGATCCCTGGTGATCCTCTGCCAGGCCTCTACTGCAACTGTCTTAGGTTCCTGCTTGTTCTTGGGGCATTTTCCCTTCAGTTTTGTCTTCAGCAAGTGAAATGCATGCTCAATTGGATTCAGGTCAGGTGATTGACTTGGCCATTGCATAACATTCCACTTCTTTGCCTTAAAAAACTCTTTGGTTGCTCTCGCAGTGTCCATCTGCACTGTGAAGCGCCGTCCAATGAGTTCTGAAGCATTTGGCTGAATATGAGTAGATAATATTCTCCGAAACACTTCAGAATTCATCCTGCTGCTTTTGTCAGCAGTCACATCATCAATAAATACAAGGGAGCCAGTTCCATTGGCAGCCATCCATACCCACGCCATGACACTACCACCACCATGCTTCACTGATCAGGTGGTATGTTTTGGATCATGAGCAGTTCCTTTCCTTCTCCATACTCTTCTCTTCCCATCACTCTGGTACAAGTTGATCTTTGTCTCATCTGTCCATAGGATGTTGTTCCAGTACTGTAAAGGCTTTTTTAGATGATGTTTGGCAAACTCTAATCTGGCCTTCCTGTTTTTGAGGCTGACCAATGGTTTACCCTCTCTATTCACTCTGGTGAAGTCCTCTCTTGATTGTTGACTTTGACACACATACACCTACCTCCTGGAGGGTGTTCTTGATCTGCCCAACTGTTCTAAAGGGGTTTTTCTTCAACAGGGAAAGAATTCCTCGGTCATCTACCACAGTTGTTTTCTGTGGTCCTCCGGGTCTTTTGGTGTTGCTGAGCTCACCGGTGCAGTCTTTCTTTTTAAGAATGTCCCAAACAATTGATTTAGCCACACCTAATGTTTTTGCTATCTCTCTGATGGGTTTGTTTTTATTTTTCAGCCTAATGATGGCTTGCTTCACTGATAGTGACAGCTCTTTTGTCTCTGATAGTGACAGCAGCAGATTCCAAATGAAAATAGCACACTTGAAATGAACTCTAGACCTTTTATCTGCTCCTTGTAAATAAGATAATGAGGGAATAACACACACCTTGCCATGGAACAGCTGAGCAGCCAATTGTCCACATCTTGTTCGTTTAATTTCAAATCCATTGTGGTGGTGTATAGCGCCAAAAAGATTCGAATTGTGTCGATGTCCCAATAATTATGGACCTGACTGTAGATTAGGAGTTCCTTGGGCAGCTCATACTTTAAGATAATGCCTTCTGAGCTATTTAAATAGTTTCCAGTTAGTGATGTAATGATTCCGGTGTCCTAATTAAAAGGAGCTGTAGAAAGTATGACCGATAAAGTTCAGGCTACGGGTCAAGCTGCACTTTTGAGATGAGAATCTAGTTAAAACTGTGGTTTTCTGACTGATTTTGAAATTATTCCTAACGCATACTTGATATGAGGCAGGGACGCCCATCAACGCAGTTCCTGTGAGATGAACGACTAAAAATGAGGAGTGAAACCATAGCACTCCTGTCTCTTACCGAGGCTGACAGCATGTCCCCCTTATTCCACAGCTGACGGTTTCCCCGCTAGACCTGGACTTCACAGGAACTTGAAAGGTAAGCCGACGGTCACCCGTAATGCCTCTCAAACCTTAACAGCCGTCTCACTGAGAATTTGAGGGCAGTTCACACCTTCATTCATAAGACCAGACTGATCTTTTTCTTATTAAATAATAATGTTGTTTGATTAAATCCAGAATGTCTACTCCTGTGAGGTGAAAAGTCATTCTGCATGCTAAAGCTACCCATGCTCATGCTGTAACATTTTTATTAATTCAGCAGATGCTTTTATTGAGTGACATACAATTGAGAAAACAGGCTCAGACCGTCCCTGGAGCAATTGGGGGTTAAGGGTCTCACACAAGGGCTCAATGGTGAAATCACTCTGCTGACACTAGGATTTGAACTGGTGACCTTCTGATCACAGGCACAACAGCTTGACCCACTGAGCCACAATCCACCGCCACACCATTATGGCTGTTTTTATAGCTAAATATATGCGATCAGGTGGGAAGAATCTACTAACATGTGCTGAACTGCTGAGTTTGTCCTGAGTGGCATCAGCAAAGAAATCAAGAAGTATCCACTGTTTTTCCCATAAGGACTTGGTCAGCTTCATCACAAGAGCCTCCTATTTGACTGAAGCCTGGTAATCAGGAGACAGACTGAGGATTAAGCTTCCTGCTCCTCATGTCCACGTACTGAAAAAGTCTCCCGTGGTGTTCAGTCGCTTAAGGTTGTCTGGTTAACCGTCTTCCAACTCCGCCGTGAATAATATTACTAGAGTGGTAGGAGTAATAAGGTAACTCGTCTCAAGGGGACAATGGTGAGCTTCAGTGTTCCGCCTTTCCCTGGCTTCTGTTGTCTTGGCGACACTTCTATGACGTGTTTAACTACTTCCTGTCTGAGCTGGGCCGTCGAGCTGAAGCTGTGTCTCTCGTTTGTCCTGTAGTTATATGTTTTTCCCAAATATTATTACATGGGTGAAAATAAAATACTACCAGGGGTGGTATTTTGAAAATATATACAGTCTGCCCCCCATATCCGCCAGTTCCACATCCGCAGATTCAGCCAACCACAGATTGAAAATGCAGAGAATGAATGTATATTTTCTGTATTTATAATTAATATAATTTCCTATACATATTACTATGGTTATATGTACTGAACATGTACAGATGTTTTTTCTTGTCATTGTTCCCTAAACCAAACAGTATAACAACTATTTAAACAGCATTTACTTTGCACTAGATATTATAAGTAATCTAGAGAGATTTAAAGCATATAAGGGGCCGACTATGTATTTCTTTATGGTCTTTCAGAAATTTCAAAATGATTCAGTAACAAACTACAAGTACAGCAGAATCACTGAACCGAATCTTCTTCAGGATGCCTTAGCTACCCTTAGCTGTGCTGGATAGATTCCTGCGTGGATGTATCAGAAAGGGCAGGAGAGGGAACGACAATAAAACATGACATAAAATAAAACGGAAAAACCGTCAGAGTTACAGGATGCTAGATAAGAACTACAGGACAAAGTAAAATACCATGAATTACAGTAGCAGCCTTAGGGCCTGGGCAGGGTGTCCTTTTATCTGCGGTTTTCTGACTGATGTTCGGCAGCCATGGTGCACCCCTCCCCCACACTACCTGTTGGGTTCGGCAGAGAGACTTTCTTGGGTTTCTTGGTGACCCATTGTCATGTACGGTGAAAACTTTCTCAGGCTTTTTAATTGGTGTGGCCCTCATCCATGGAACTTGGGCGCCATTGGAAGCGACGCAGCTGCGACGCCTTTGACTGGATTCATTTATCCGAATGCATTTGCCATGTGTCACTGGCCACCAGCAGCTCTCAATAGCTCCTTTCTCTCTGTGTCTGTTTATAGTCTGGTTGCTCTGACTGCCAAACCCACTTGAGAAACGAGGTGCCCCCCCCGTTTCCCTCTGATTCCTGTTCCCGACTGACCTAAGAATTATCGATGAGAATTATTTTGCCTGTAAAACTTGTAGTAAAACAGGAAAAAGTAGAAGGTGTCACCTTCTGCGTCAGGGAAGTCTCACCCAGGGAAAATGGTTATCAGTGATGTATAGGAGGGTTAGGGTGAACTGGCAGAGTGAGATTTGCATCGTAATCGGCACCGCTGAAAGAATGCCGCAGGATTGCATGTCGCATAGTTTGAGTTTGGAATTTGCACAGTTGACTTGATGTTACTTGAAAACAAGGAAGTTGGAACAATCTGTCAGTGTGGCTAAGCCAGACGTGGGCATTAGCGTCGGCTGATTGGTCTACTGCGTGGTCCCCAGCCCGCGATTGGCTGATGAGGTAAATGACACGCTGCAGAAACCTTCCACACTTTTCCCACACTGGGGCCCCTGGGCTGTTTGTTTTGTAACCTTGACGACAGGAGTGTGGGCGGCGGGACGTCTCCGTGGGGTGGGAGAGACGGACTGCAGAACCCGCTTCCCATTTTTTCCATGGAGAGGAGAAGGAACATTTTCTCTGGACGTCACCTGTTTGTGCTCCCTGGCATCACCAGTTTTCCCCAAACTGGGACACTATACGAATCAAACAGGTTCAAGTCTTCATGAAAGGGCCTAGAATAAAATTTTCTGTCCAATACCTGTTCCGTCTGTGGTTCTGGTGTCACTTCGATGTCAGGTTTTGAGACGATAATCATGAACGGCACTGCTGGGTTCTGTGATGCTGTAGCTAGTTTAACATATAGTGACCGTAAGGCTGTAGGTTCGGATCCTTCAGAACACCCTGCCCTTCTTTTTTCTCACACCCTACCTATCTGTGGGGGGGATGCTGGCTCAGTGGGTGGTGGGGTCACTTCACCTTCAGGGTTGGGGGTTCGACTCCCCCACTGTGTGTCAGTGAAGTTTGTATGTTCTCCCGATATTTCATGGATTTCCTCTTGCAGTCCAAAGACATGCAATAGGGGTATCTCTACATTTCCCATGGTGTGTGTGTGTGTGTGTGCACACCCATCCTGTAATGCACTAGCATCCTAACCAGGGTGCCCCCTGCCCTGTGCATTCTGGGATAGACTTCAGGCTCCCTGTTACGCTGTACTGGATAAACAGTTGCAGAAGATGGATGGATGTTCAATAACAAATACAGAGTAATAAAGAACCAAAAAACTGGGTTTGGTTGTCATTCCAAGTTTGGAGTCACTTTCATTTTCCAGAGATGTGATAAGTTGAGACATTTAAACCATTCTGTCTTCTATTTACTTTTTTATTTATCTTTTAATCTGATAATAAACTTCTGGATTCTGTTATCAGCCTTTGTCATCAGCCATAGCTGCCGGTACAGCATAGTGCCTCCACTGCATTAGTCTTATCAAAGTTCTCGCTGTCTTGGATGCCTTGATTTCACACTCACTGAGCCAGACAGACAGAAGCTTTTTTTTCCCCCAGATTCAGATCAGAAACTTTTTTTTTTATATTCAGATATTCTCTATATCATGTGCCATTGTATATTTTGACCACTGGACGAGTGATTCACAGTTCAGATTGAGCCCACTCTTCCTGGGCACCCCTTGTGTCTACGTGCAGTTTATTAATCGATATTTAAGTAAATAAAAACACTGGATTAACTTTACACAAAAGTTTAATATAAACACTTTGGAGTGTCCTCATATTTTATTTCAGTATTTCGGTGTGCTATTTAATTTAAAATGATCTTGGATTTTTCCATTTTAACAAGTCAGGGCTATAAATGATTGGCTCCATAAAATGTACATAGATTCATCCATCGGTTTTGCGTCTGCTATCGCCGGCAGCATCGGGCACAGGCCTGAGGAACGACCTGCCCTGAAGACGCCGTATTAGCCTAATAGTCTCTGGACTGCGGGAGGGACCTGGAGTGGCAGCATAAACCCATGCAATAGAGGGAGTGCTTGGCGGGGAGGGGGTGGGGGGGGGTCATAGCCAAACGCAGAGGGGCTATTTGGTGTCAGATTCCAGCCCCCGCTGTCCAGCTCCCAGCCCCCGCTGTCCAGTTCCTGTACGGCTGCTCTGTTCAGTGTGATTCAGCATTACTGGAAATGCCAGCCTGGAGCTCCTCAAAGGAACACTGAGGTTTGTCAACAGAGTTGTGTAGCGACTTACAGAGTTTATTAGGTTTTTGGTGCTCATTAACAGTAACAGAGCCCTGCAGTCACTTCTGAAACATTGTGAATGCTGGCATAAAATTGTATACGTAGTTTTGGGTATGATGTGGAGTGAATACTGCTGTCTTTGAACAAGTGCCTTAATCACCAGGCTTGATTTTCATGGTGAATAACCAGAGATGTATAATTACTTTGGAAGGTGCCCAGACCTACCAGCAGAACCTTTCCGTAACTCTGCAGTCTGTGTCCCATGCTTTTCTGCCTTTCTGGTCCCTAAATCATGCCCTTCTAGGAGCTGTGAATTGGTGATCAATGGAGAAGTTCAATGTTGAAGAGTGTTGCACAGTAAACAGTCAGTTCCACTATACAGTGAAAATCGTACACTACATATCTTTCTAGGCAGCCATAAACAGAAATTAAACATAAAATTACAAATCACAGATACATATTGAGGTTACAGTCAGACAATACGTATGATTACAATTATGGCAATAAATACATAAATGTGTATTTAAATGTATAGTGCAATTTAAATATTGTGAGTATTGCGAAAGACTCCTTATGCACAAGGTAGATAATTGGTTACTCCTAATGTGCCGAGTTTTAGTGCAAGATAGAGAAGTTTGTGCAAGTGACCAGGTTGTTGTGCAAAGTCTGCAGAAATCCATGTGCAACATTGTGTTGGAGGGGATGCAAGCACAGCATTGGTTGGAGGAAGATTGTGGGAGGGGCAGTGGGCAGGATTTGTCTACTGATGCATTCAGCTCTGCTGAATCCCACAGAAACTCCTCCTGCATGTAGCATTTGTTGTCATTTAGCTGCTTTCTTCTCAGCGTGTCTTCATACCACATTAGCTACGTGGTGCGCCTTATCTCCGAAGCATGTTAACAACTCCTCACCGCTTTAAAATCCCTTTCAGCTACGCCTCACGGCCTGTTG